ATATTACTCTCATCCTATCCATGTCTTTATATTTGAGTTTCTCCTCTTAACAGAACAAAATTGGTCTTGCATTTTTAATTCAGACTGAGAATCTCTGCTCTTCAGTTGGAGTGTTTAATCTGCTTACATTTAATGCAACCACTGATAGGGTTAGGTTGAAGAATATCATATTGCTATTTGATTTCTATTTGTGTGATTAATTTTTTGTTCTTCTGTCCTTCTTTTCCTGGCTTCTTTTGTTGTATCTGATTTTGCCTTCTTTATTGGCTTTTGGTTACATCTCTACATAGTATTTTAGTGGGTACTGTAGGATTGTAATATGTTTCCTTCACATATCACAGTCTACGTTGAATTAATGTTATACCATTTCATATAAGATAATTGCAATAAAATATTTCCATTTATCCTCCCTCCCATGCTTTGAATTATTTTTGTCATACATTTTGCTACTATATTGCATAAATTCTAAAGCATTTTTGCCTTAGCCATTAATCTTCAAAAGAAATTTATATAAAGTCTTCTATATTTGGTCACATTTACACTTTTATTACTCTTTTGCCCTTCCTGCCTACAATGGACACCATTTCCCTTCAGCCTGAGGAATTGCTTTTACTTTTTCTTGCAGTGCAGGCCCAGTGGCAACAAATTCTCATACCTTTGTTGTTCTGAAAACGTTTTTACTTTGCCTTCATTTTTCAACAACGCGTTCACTGAACACAGAGTTCCAGAAAGAGGTTGATTATTTCTTTTTTCTTTCCAACCATTTAGAAATGTCATCTCCCTGTCTTCTGACTTCCATCATTTCTGATGAGAGCTTATTGATACTCTTATTGTTGTTTCTCTTAAAATAAAGGACATTGCTTTCCTCCCTGTCTACTTTCAGCCTTTTTTCTTCATGTTTGTTTTCTTTTTTTTCTGAAGAAGTTTGCCCCTGAATTGACTTCTGTGTCCATTCTCCTCCATTTTATGTCTGTGGGATGCCTGCCACAGCATGGCTTTGTCAACAAAAATAATCCATAACCAATCTATAAATGAAAATTTGGGAGAGTTTATTCTGAGCTGAAATCTGAGGACCATGGCCCGGGGCCTTTCTTCCTGAAGGAAGAAAGGGCACCAAAGAAGTGAGGTGTACAGAGTGGTTATATACCCCCAAACAGGATGTTTCACATATGATTGAAATGTCCCTCCCACAATAGTCGCAAGATTGCACTGGTGGCACAGAGCTTGATGGACACAGCAGGTAGTGAGTCTGCCATCTTGGTGGCCACAGCAGGAAGCAAGTCTATTGTCTCAAGCTGGGTGGTCACAGGTGAGCACAGGAATCAGTTCCTAGCCTAAGGAAAGATGCTTAAGCCTTAAGGAAATGCCAATGTTGAGAGGGGGAGGGAAGTTACACCTTTATCTCAAGGGCCTTTTTTCTTGCCGTAGGGAATCTCTAAAGCAGGTATACAATGCATGCTCAATGGCCACAGTCAGGCCCTTTAGGAAGAACAAGGTCAGGCCAAATTAGGTTTATACCAAATGGCTTCCTCATATGCTCCAATATATCCTATTGCTTACCATTTCTATTTGTCACCTTCATAAGCAGTGTGTAGGCCCGCGCCTGAGCTCCAAACCAGCAAACCCAGTGCCACTGAAGCAGAGTGCACAAACAGAACAACTGCACTGCCGGGTGGCCCCATATCATTGGTTTTTACCAGTTTTACTCTTATATGCTTACATGTGGATTCCTTTGCCCTCCCCGAGGTTCACTGAGCTTCCTGAATCTGTGGATGAGGAATGTCGTCTAGCAATAGGCCTATGATGAAAAGGAACCCGTTGGTGCACTTCCTTTATGGTGAAATGTGTTTGTCGAACAAAAGCAGTGTTGTGTGGGATAGCAAGACAGTAAATCAACCCTGTGAGTTCTGTAAGTCCACAAAGGGGGAACCGGCAGAAGTACGGTGGTGGGCAGGAAGGCAGAGCCACCCCAAGACAAGATCCCAAAAGAAATTAACAAGATCTCACATTTCTTTGGGCCTCTCTCCCCCAGGAGCTGTCCTGGTGGTTCTCTCCCTGCCATCCTGGGACCCAGCTCTTCTGGTGGGTCTGGAGGGAAGGAGGGGAGATGGGAGTGGGTTTGGGTGAGTAGAGGCATTTCCTTGAGGTCATTCCAGAGATATTTTATTGATTTATATTTAAATTTTTGTTACAGAGGTACTTGAGGAACAGAAGGATTGTTCCCTCAAAGGTAGGGGTGGGGCAGGGGACACTTCCACAGACAAAGGAGATTTGAAGGAATCTGCATGATTAGGGTGCTGACCCACCCCCATCCAAATGTGCCCCTGAGCAGACTTCAGCTACAGAGCCAGGTGTTGGAATCCTTGTCACAGAATGGCTGCACAGCAGCCCAGAGGTTTTCTCTCCAGGGAGGAGCCTGAGCAGAAGCTCAGCTCTTGTTCAGGGATGCCAGGAAGTCATCACGGGGCGGGGGTTAGACAACAGGTCAGAGCTCTTGCTGACCTGGCTGTCAGGGCGCCTGGGCTCAGTCCAGGCTCTGTTCTAACTCTGTGGTCCCTTCAGTCGTCCACTACCCCCCCCGGGACTGTGTCTCTCCCTCATCTCTCACAGGAGGAAGAAGACCTGCAGCAGGGTTCTCATGTTTTAACCACAGAACCATTTCCTCAAGTAAATGTTCTATCTAAACTCTATATGCATGTGGCAGGGCAACCTTTCAGATATTATTTTTGTTTTGCTTTACGCATTTTCATTTTTGTCTTTTTCCATCAAGGAGCCAGGTTCTTAGTATGTCTTAGATGCAGGGGTATTGTTTCAGCTCCAGATCAGAAGCTGTGAGTCCTCACTGCTCTGCCCTTGTGAAAGTGCCCGCAGTCATGAAGAGACTGTGTTGGTTCCTGCTTTGTGCACAGCCAGGTGGGAAAGGCCGTGCCTGTGAGGGTTACATGACTGCAGAGTATGTACCCCTTGTGGTGAGAGGGTAGTGCTGTGTGGGTTTGGAGCAGGAGCTCAGAGCTGGAACGTATGCTCAGCTCCCAGGTCGTGCTCCATATGACAGGGAAAGCCCTTGGAGAGATGGCTGCTGGGAGTGTTTCCCGAGCTGAGCCCAAGACAGGGAGATCCTCATTCAGCAGAGGATCCCGTACTCTATGTGGGGGCTCCAAGCCAAAAACGTCCTAAAATTGAAAAATAGGGTGGTCTGGAAACTATGGATGTAGCAGTAACAACGATTGCCTAAGAGGAGAGGCCTTTCTCCAGTTTTCCAGACTGTGTGAACCTCCCTGAATCTAGTTTGATTCTGAGCAGGCAGGAGCTACAGTAACCACAGGGATCATGTTTCCGGCCAGTCCAGTTGGATGGGTGTTTAGAGTCTGACTCTAGTTGCCTTCAAGCAAGTATGTAATGCAGTTTTTCCTATGATCTGAATCTGTACAATGACATTCCTACCTCTGACTTTAAAGGCAAATGAAGGTAAGGCTGCCCTCGCTGCCCTTCTCCCTCCCTACAGGCTGCCCTCTCCTCTAGGTGCAGAGGATGCTCCGGTGGACAGAGTGTGGCGACTTCACCCCTAGAAACTAATGACTGCTGTCATTTCCAAATCCCACGCCCTGCTGTTCTAGAGTCACATGTCCTCACGCTCACAGGACTGTGACCAGCAAAGAAACAGAATGCAACTACTTTATTCCTCTGGATTTCCCACGAGATCTAGGCCATGTGCACTCATGTGAGGAGGGAGAGAGGGTTGCATGATTTGGGTGAAACTCACACTGTCAGTGTCACTCAGGTTCAGATGACAGAGTCTGTATTAGGTCCACTGTGGATTCCCAGTGATGGGCACTTAGGAGCTTAATCAGGGTGTGTTTGTTTATTGATGGAAAAGTGGTGCTTTCCAGTCCTACTGCATGGAGGGTAGGGCTAACTCAAAAGGCTGAGACAGCCCTAGGTGGCCAGTGAGGGGTCTTAGCCTAGAGGCCAGCAGTGAGTAAGAGGGACAGGCTGAAAGGGACTCTGGCTATCAAGTGACCAGGTGGCCAATGCACCCTGAGCACTTCGGGGGACACTGGGCTGGATGTGAAGGGTTGAGCTGACCTTGCCAGGTGAGGGATGGGGCAGGGGATCTGGAGAGACAGCCTGCCTGCTGTGTCCTCCACGGACCCCGCCTTCTGCCAGCACAAGCCCGGTCCTTGTTCCACTCTCTGCCAGGTCATGAGCTAGGCTGGCATCTCAGGGCAGAGGCCCTGCTGGAACCACACGGAGCTCTGGGTGTCTTAGGCAGGAGGGCTAGAAGGAAGGGGCCAGCTCAGATCAGGCTTGTTTGGAGCAGACAGGAGTTGGTGGACTCTGAGAACTCTCCGTGGAAAGCAGGGATGGAGAAGAAGGGGCAGCCAGGAGACTGGAGGGCAAGCTGGGCCCCAAGGTCACAGGAGGACAGGGAGGAGACTCAGGCTGGGTGAGAACGAGGAGCTTCTCCAGAGACCCACCCTGACTCTGTGCCAGCTTCTGGCTGTGGGAGAGAAATGTCCTGCTCAGGTTGCTTCTCCCCTCCCCAGTGTGGGTGGCTCTGATGTTGAGCAGCAGTCCCAGGCTTGCCTGCTTGGTGTCCGGTACATATGGTGTCATCCCCCTTCCTCTCTGCCATCTAACACAGGGAAGGAGGTAAGAAGTTCACCCTGAGCCCCAGGACCAGAGAGGTTCATGTTTTCTCCTGATGGTGCTCAGCGTCAGCCCTGGCAGAAGGGCAGGCCCAGAGAAAGATGAGGGTCAGAAGTAGCTGGGTAACAGCTTAGCTTGATGTTCGGGGGAGGTGGTGGTGGGAGGGGGAAGAGGAAGAAGCAGAAATCAGCAGATTTGTGCCATTGGCATTCTAAGCACAGAGTAGGTGCCTGTGACAGAGGGTCAGTGAACCAGCAAGAAACCGGCTCTTCCCACTCAGCTAAGAGAAATTTATTTAGCTATGGTGTCGTTGTGCATCAGCTCTAGAGAAGATAGGCTGATTCTCCCAGTTAGAGGCTTTTCATGGTTTTCTTTATCCAGGACAGGAAACTCGAGACTTTGGTGAAGGCCCGTGGAGGTGTCCCATTGTTTCGTCCATAGGAGACAATGCCCTGGATCACGTTCTTACACACGAGAGGGCCCCCGGAGTCCCCCTGTGGACAGAGAGCAGGGAGGATTGAGTCCGTGCTCCCCCAGGTCCTGCCCACCTGCATCCCAAGCACACTCTCAGTGAAGGCTGCCTGGCCTGGCCTCCACGTGGGAGATCAGAGAGCAGGGCAGGCCCCTGTGGGCTCCTCAGCTGCCCAGTCCTGACCCTGGACATTGTCCTAGCTTCATTTCACTCAGGGGGCAGCTCCCTCTCCTCCACCAGGTCCCGGATCCTCTCCCACGAGGGCGCTGTGTGACTGTTATTCGGTCTACCGTTTAAGGACATGGAAGCAGGAAGGTGGTCCTGACAGTCAGCATGCAGCGTGAGCCATTTAACCAAGATGGGAGCCAGCTCTGAGGAGCCACCTGGTTTGACTGCTGCACACCCAGGGAGCAGTTTTCTAATATATGTGCCCAGCGTGGGGCAGAGTGTTGCAAATTCATCTTCCGGATGGAGCACCATGTTTGGATGCATCTCAGGCCCCGGGTAGGCTCCCAGAAGGCCTGTCACTCCCCACTCTGGCTGTTCCCCCCTTCTCTTCCCGGGAGAAAGATCAGAGTCTAGGGGGTGAAGGTGTTCCTACAATTTGGATCTGCAGCTCCCAGATCTTCCCCAAACACCCCTCTCCCCAGATCCGAGCTAGACAGATGCCCAGTCTCACCTTAAAGGAAGACTTCTTTTCCTTCGGGTCCCCCACGCAGAGCTGAGTGGTACTGTTGTAATAATTGCGTAAGTAAGATTCGCACTCCCGGTCCTGCTGCACGGTCAGCTCCACCTCCTGCAGCGTGTCTGAGAAGCTGCCCATCAGGGATACTATCCCCCATCCGGCCACTCTGCACACCTGTCGCGGCCTCACCTGGGCCTTGGCCCTGGGCAGGCTTAGGGTCCTCACAGCTGCAGTCAGCTTGGCCTTTCTCTCCAGCTGATGAGAAGAGGCAAGAAAGTCCAGCTAAGCCACTGGCCTCCTGGGCCTGGACACCGCGATGAGGCTGCACTGACTTCCCTCTCCCCTGAGCCACAGGGACTAGTCAGGTGGCCGGGATGGGAAGGAGGGAAGGGACAGGTCCCAGTGGGAGGGGAAACAATCTGGACCCAGGAGAGTAAGAGCAGAGGGGAGGTTCCCTTACCTTTAGTAACATGATGTCGTTGGAGTAGTTCTTAGGGTTATAGTCTGGGTGTGGGATGGCTGCTTTCACAGAGAAATTCTGCTGGGTTGTCTCCTGCTTCTCGATGTCGTGGACCCCCAGAGTCACCTTGAAAGAGCTGCACAGAAAGCAGAGTGGAGATGTAGGGGGACCTGGAGTGAAAGGAGATCCAGCCCAGGAGACATGAAGGGCAGGTGACATGGGGCGGGGCAGGCCTGGAGCTTGGGGAAATCCAAACAACCAGAGGACTGTGCACTGAGTGACTCTGTCCCTTGTCTTTCTCAATGACATTGAGGGTAGGTCACCTAGAAGTTTTCTCTTGCACTCTGGCAATATTGTGAAAATAATCTGAGTTTGCATTTTGACCCTAATGCATGATTTCATCCTCAACAGCTGCTTTATTTGGCCAATGTGGTCTCTCTGCTCAACTGGGCTTATTGTTCTCACCTCTGATCCTCTGATCACAAAGCTTACCTGTCCTATTTCTCACTTGCAGTCACCCAGTCATGCTCTCAGATGGCTCCTCTCATAAGCTCTCATGGCCTTGAGTTCCCAGGAGCCGGGGGAGCTCCCCCAGGTTGCAGCCCTTGGGCAGAAGACAAGGGTCCCTGTAGGAGTCTTAGGAGGTGTCAGTTACCTGTGGCCCCTCACCTTCCCCAGCAGTGAGCAGCTGTCAGAACAAAGTCCTGTCGCACAAGGACACCGCCGCACCTGTGCTTTTTCTCTTCAACCAGAAATTGAACCAATGCCATGTAGGGACGGGAGTGTGGCCTGGCCTCATGTCCTCCGATGATCTCCCCTGAAGGAAAAATCTTATCTGCTTGTGTGCACCCAGTGAGTCCATCAGTCATGCATTAGCTTGATTGCTCAGTACTGCTGGGCATCTGGGAGTCTGGGATGGCCTGGAGTTGAGAGGGGCAAGAGTGGGACTCCCTCTAGACAAAGGAAGAAGACAGGCTTGGCCTGTGAATCTGTCTTCCACAGATAATTTGAGGAAAACATATGCTTTTTAAGGACAGCAAAGTCCTAGAGGCTCCTGAAAATTCCTCTCCTGACTTTGCTTTGTTTCAGGAGCCTTTCTAAGTCCCTGTTGTCCTGTGATGTCTGGGGTGGTGCTGCTTTCCAGTGGCCAGGACTTCAGTTTAGGGATCTAGATGTTGTCATAGCCTGTTTCCCATAGCCTGACACATAGTGGGGGCCCAAAGTTGTTTGTTGGCTGCATGAAGGAATGGCTCCCAATGGGCCTGGAGGAGAGTTTGTAGGGCCAGTGCTTGTGGGATTCTGGAAAGCAGAGAAGTTCAGGTCTGCAAACACTGGCTCCATCCTGGAAAGAAGGGAGCTGCTAAAGGCCTGGGAAGAAAAGCAGAGCTGGAGAAGGGACTGAGGGGCCTTGGGACTGAGCAAGGCATCAGCAGTCCTCTGGGGACAGTGGTCCCACCAACTCCGGGGTCTGTAGAGCTCCAGACATCTCTCCTAAGCAGACACTGAGGGGAGCATCTGTCATCCCAGAACTGGAAGCCAGGCCCACTCTGCCCTCTGCAGGAGAATTGATTATTTTATCTTTTCTAGTTTCCCTTCCTCTGCCATGCACTTCCAGTTAAGTTCCACTTTGCAGATGGCAAACGTAGGGCCTAGGGAGGGAATAGCACCCACTGGCTGTTCTTGAGAAGAGCCTCCTTCCCTGCCATTCCTGCTGGTAGCTTCTCCAGCATCATACATGGGATTCTGAGATGGGACAGGAGCTGGGATTCAGAATGTTGCTGGTGGATAGATGGATCAGGGACGTGCAGAAAGGGCAGGAGATCTGTGCCCACTGTGTTTGGGGGGAGGGGTTGTGCATCTGAGGGCGGGGATGGTCACTCACCTGCCTCTGTCCCAGGGGACAGTAAAAACGCCAGCAGGAGCAGGAGAAGCTGCATCTTTCCAGGAAGGTTGCCCAGGTTGGAGAGGCTGGTGCTTCCTCCTTGCTCTCTTTTATCCCTGAGGAGAGGAACGAGGTACAGATGGGATCAGTGACCTCAAGGCCCCCTGTGGTGTGTGGTGCTTCCTCAGAGACGGCTTTCTATGAAACCTTCCCCGCCCCCACTCTTTCTGCCTGATGACAACCTCTGGGTGGTTGTGTGATAATCAAGCAGTGACCACATCAGAACCCACAGTGGATGACTCAGGGCGGAACAATTGTTGCAGCCTAGAGCAGGAACCCAAGGGTACAAAGTGGAGACTGTGGGCTGTGGTATCAGCCAGTAGAGGTATTGGAGCCCCAGAAACCTGAGTCCCCAGTGACAGAACCACCAATGCCTCATTTCCAGGTTGCTAAGTCCATCAGGATAATTTCTTCAGCAGATGTGTGTTTGGGCCCTTCTCTGTGCCATGACCAAACATATTGGAGATGTGTCTCCTTCCTTTAGAGAGCTGTCTGTCGGGTGGAGGAGACAGAAGCATCAGTCATCAGAGCACAGCATGGGAAGGACCGTAGTAGAGGGATGCACGAGATGAGAACAAAGCATGGCCACCATCTACCAAATCCATGTAGCAACCCATTCATCAGCACAGCTTCCTTCCTAGGGGATTTTTAACATCTCTTTTTAAATTACAAATGCTCAGAGTGATAGAGTCCATGTCTCTTGTCCATGTTTTAACAAAAGTCCTGTACTTGAACTTTATTGGCCTAAATTAACAAATCTTTATGATCCTAGGAATTGAACCCACTCATTGAGTTAAGCCTAGGTCAGTTTCCTTTGGGTAGGCTGGAGTCAGTCCCACCCAAACCACATGGACTAAGACTGGGAAAGGGCTGAGTCCCCAAAGGAAGTTCAGATGACTAAATTGCCAGTACCGTGTGAAGTGAGAAAGCTTACCAGGCTACCAAAGAGCAATAATTATCCTTTCAGTTTTCTGTGTTCTCCATCGAGAGAATCACACCTCTGATGGAGCTGGCCTGGCACATCATAGACTCACATTTGCTCAACAAACTCTGCTGATGATCTCGCTATGATGGAAGTGAAGGACTGTTGTTTCTAAGCAGACCAAGCCCAATCCTGTTCAGAGAACAACTAGGCATATCTGAGAGGTTAGGGCCTGGTGATTTAATTTCCCTCTTTACATTTTCTGTACTTTACAATTTTTCTGTGAAGAGTATTCTGTATCAAAATACATGATTCCAGTGTAAATATTGCTCTTATCAAACCAAATACATTTATCAAACCTCTACCTCTTTGTTCCTAGCTTACCCAGTAGTAAACATTTTAAAAATAAAATCACTTTTCTGATTATAGTGGTGATAAATGTTCGTTAAGAAAATTTGGAAAGTAGAAAGGAACAGTGCCACTCCTTTTCCTCTCACCAGCAGACAGCCTGTTACTATGAGCAGTGCGTTTTAAATACTTGGGATCATATTATATACACAGTACAGTTTTCTTTTATCCTCATTTAACTCTACAATTTCAGCATGTTCCTCATGCTCTTAAAAGTCTGGTAGTCAATATCACTATAGTATTTATTTCCTACATACTAAAGAATTCAATATGCAACTATTTCCTAACATTGTGGGAAAATTTTAAAAATAATTTAAGCAAAGAGGAAACAATTAAAATTACCTGATTTCCCATCACTCATTGATAATCATCTTTAATGTCTTGAAGTATGATCTAACGTATTTTTCTCTCGTGTGTATGCGTATTTTTTAAAATTCAAAGATAGTTATACTAAACATAAGTCTATGACCCTTTATTAAAAATGGAGGTGAGATTCACATAACATACAGTTAACTGTTTTAAAGTATAACTCAGTGGCATTTTACTGCATTCAAAATATTGTGCAACTACCACTTTTCCCTAGTTTTGAAACTTTTTCATCACCCAGAAGAACAACCAAATGTACCCGGTAAGCTGTAGGTCCACAACACAGTGAGTACCGAATCACTTTCCCTCCTCCCTCTCCCACACCTGGTCCCGCCCCCTGGCAGCCTATAATCTTCTTTCCATCTCTATGGATTTTCACATTCTGGATACTTCATATAAAAGCAATCAAGCGGTATTTGACCTGTTGTATCTGGGTTCTTCCACTTAGCATAGTGATTTTGAGGTCCATCCAGCTGTGGCATGTATCAGTATTCATTCTTTTTATAGATAAATAATATTCCTTTGTATACATATAATACAATTTATCCATTCATCTGTGGGTAGACATTTGGGTTTTTCCCATCTTTTGGCTATTATGTCTAATTCTGCTGTAAATATTTGTGTAGACATTTCTGTGTGGATCATACGTTTTCATTTCTCTTGGATACACACCTAGGAGTGGCACTTCTAGGTCATATGGTAATCCTATGTTTACATTTTTGAGGAACCACCAAACTTTTTCCCTCAGTGGTTGCACCATTTTACATTCCCACCAGCAATGTACAAGGCTTCCCATTTGTCCACATCTTCGCCAACACTTGTGAGTTTTCTTTCTTTCTTTTTGATTATTGCCATTCTGGTTGTTATGAAGTAATATGTCACTGTGGTTTTGATTTACATTTCCTTAATAATTAATGATGTTTGTGTCTTTTCCTCTGTTTCCTGGTCATTTGTATATCTTGGGAAAATGTCAGTTCAAGTCCTTTGTCCATTTCTTAATTGAGTTCTTTGTCTTTTTCTTGTTGAGCTGTAAGAGTTCTTTATACATCCTGGATACTCAACCCTTATCAGATACATGATTTGTAAATATTTTCTCCCATTCTGTAGATTGTCTTTTCACTTTAGTGATACTACCTTTAGTACACAAAACTTTCTATTTTTTATGCAATCCAATTTATCGATTTTACCTTTTGTTGCTTGTTGCTTTTGTTGGTTTCAAATCTAAGAATCCAGCGCCAAATCAGAGGTCACGAAGATTTTCTCTATGTTTTCTTCTAAGAGTTTTATGTTTTAAGCTGTTATATTTAGGTTGTTGATCCATTTTGAATTAATTATTGTATATGGAGTTAGGTAGGGATCCAACAACATTCTTTCCATGTAGTAATCACGTTGTACCAGCGCCATTTATTGAAGGTATTATTCTTTCCCCACTGAATGGTCTTGGCAACCTTGTCAAAAATCAGTTGGCCATAGATGTTCAGGTTTGTTACTCGGTTCACAATTCTATTCTATTGGTCTACATGTCTATCCTTATGCAGTACCACACTGTTTTCGATTTCTGTCACTTTGTAGTAAGATTGTTTTTTGGAGGAAGATTATCCCTGAGCTAACATCCGCTGCCAATCCTCCCCCTTTTTGCTGAGGAAGACTGGCCCTGAGCTAACATCCATGCCCATCTTCCTCTACTTTATCTGTGGGATGCCTACCACATCATGGCTTGACAAGTGGTGTGTGGGTCCGCACCTGGGATCTGAATCTGTAAACCCCAGGCCACAGAAGCAGAACATGCAAACTTAACCACTGTGCAACCTAGCCAGCTCCAGCTTTGTAGTAAGTTTTGAAACCAAGAAGTATGAGTCCTCTAACTTTGTTTTCCTTTGTCAATGTTGTTCTGGCTATTTGGGGCCCCTTGCAATTCCATATGAAGTTTAGAATTGCCTTTTCCAGTTCAGCAGAAACGGCCTTTGGAATTTTGATAGAGATGGCATTGACTCTGTAGATGGATTTGAGGAGTATTGCCATCTTAACACTGTATGTCTTCCAATCCATGAACATGGATGTTTTTCTATGTAGTTAGTCCTTCAATTTTTTCCAGCAATGTTTTGTAGTTTTCAACATATGATTTGCTCACCTCCTTGGTTAAATTTGTTCCTAAGTATTTTATTCTTTTAGATGCTATTGTAAATGGATTAGTTTTCTTAATTTCCTTTTTATATTGTTCATTGCTGGTATATAGAAACACAAGTGATCTTCTACCCTGCAATTTGTTTAATTCATTTATTAAATCCTATTCAGTTCCACTCCCCTTTATGTTGTTAATGTCATATATCACATCTTTATACACGTGTACCCATAAGTTTTACAATTATTGCTTGATGCATTTGTTATTTGATAACTATTTATTATGCATTTATGTATTTTAAACCATATAGGAAACAGAAAGAAGATTTACAAAACCAGAATATACTAATACTAGCTTTTATATTTATCTTTGTAGTTATTTTCAGCAGAGATCTTTTTTACTTCATTTGGATTCAAGTTGCCATCTAATGCCTTTGTTTCAGCCTGGAGGACTCCCTTTAGCATCTCTCGTAGGGCAGGTCTACTAATGATGAATTCCCTTACCTTTTGCTTATCTGGGATATCAGTATTTCTCCATTTTTTTGCAGGGCAATTTCAACAGATATAGAATTCTGGGTTGACAGGCTTTTTTTCCTTTCTTCACTTTAAATAAATCATCCCACTGCCTCCTGGCCTCCATGATTTCTGATGAGAAATTGACAATCTTACTGTGAGTCATCTGTCCATGATAAGTCACTTCTTCTTGCTGCTTTCTGGATTTACTCTTTGTCTTTGTCATTTGACAGTTTGACTATAGTGTATCTTAGTGTGGATCTCTGAGTTTATCCTCCTTGAAATTTGTTGAGCTTCTTGGATTTGCATACTTCTATGTTTCATCAGATTTAATAAGTTTTGGGCCATTATTTCTTCAAATATTTTTTTTTCTGATTCTTGCCTTTTTCTCCTTCTGGGACTCCCATAATGCATCTGTTAGTATTCTGGATACTTTCGCATGGGTCCCTTAGGCTCTGCTCATTTTTTTCATTCTTCTTCTCTTTCTGCTCCTCAGACTGGATTCTTTCCTTTGCCCTGAAAGTTCATTGATTCTTTCTTCTGCCTGGTCAATCTATTGTTGAATCTCTCTAGTGGAATTTTCATTAAAGCTATTGTACTTTTTAGCTTCTAAATTACAATTTGTATATATCTATGGATATTATCTACTTTTTCATGCATTGTTC